TATATTTGGTAGAGTATTATCTACTATCCTGTGTATGGACATTGGTCTTGAGAATGTCAAAATTAACAAATAAAACATTTTTCCAACTAACATGTGACTCAAGAATCAAGCAAGGCCGAAAAAATTGTGAACGTAATCACATTTTTTTTTATATTTCGAACATATTTATTGTATATAATAAAATAACCCCTGTCATATAACAACGTTTCATTTATTTGCCTACAAATGTGGTGATAAACTGGAATTACATCGCTTTTTGGCTACTTCTTATTTGAATTCCATCGACTTTTTCAAGTCTACCCAATGCAACCTTGTTTGCCATTGGCGTAATTAGAAAGTAAGAAAATCAAGAAGAACAGCAACCAATATGTTTCAGAGTCCCAAGAATCCTTCGGATTTTCATAAATAGGTGCTTACCTGCAACAGTCGTTATTCTAATGAGACAAAACATGAACAGCAGACACTGGCTTGTGAGGAGTCCAGTGCATACTGGGCTGGAAGAGAATGAAAGAACAAGCGACAATGAGGGCCCCGAAAGAAATTCTCGGCCATCAGTGGAGCTCATGGCAATGTCTCAGTGCAACCCATAAATATCTAGAAAAGGAAGACGGCCATGGACCTTTGCAAAGTACACACAGGAATACTTTCAAATCTATGGCTGCTAAAAACAGTATATACTTCGAATGTGCGAAATCTTCTCAAATTTCGAATAGCATATCAAGTAGCATTCCATTCGGCTCATCACTCGAATAACATATTGCTTATTCTAAATGCCTGACATTCTCTGAATGTTTTTTTTTTTTTTGAATAATCAGTTATGAGCAAAATTTTCGAAGAAACGGGATGTTGGAACAGACACGGGTACCTTTTCTTCTTTTCAGCATGGCATTACAGCAATGCGTGAAGTACATCTATTAACGCTGTATTGATAATCGCATTGGGGCATTTTGGTATAGAACTCTAGCGCCGCCAAAGTGACACTGTGACATATCCACCATATTTCCTATGACATACATCGTTATATCCTCTCATAAAGATTTCTTGATATTTCTATGTAAAACATGGGGCAAAACAAAACATCGCATCGAAGTTTGCTGTAAAACATCACTTCGTCAACAGCTTTTGACAAAGTATCAACTGGAACACGCAGTCATGTCGGTTACGGCCTGCAGCCGCAAAATATTTCCAAGACTATCGTTGCTGCTGAACGTACACAAGCTTGCCTATGCTTAATTAACCGTGGTGGTATTGCCGGTAATAAGAAATCATGATGTTCTGAAATCCGTGCAAGCGCGAGCACGGCTCTTGCTACAATTGAGGTTGGTGCTGGCTTCCTTGCTCGCGTGATTCGTCGTCATCTTTTCTTCACTACACCTTGTTCAAGTTTGTGAATAGCTGTTTCAAATGAAATGTTGCGGAATTCTTTGCCTGCTTAAAAAAGCGCTACACAAACATTGTAGGTGAACAATAGAAATTTCTTGCAGATTGGTTTCCTACTATTCGAATATTATTCGAATAGTATTAAATTTTTATCACCATTCGATTTGGTATCATCACGATTCGATTCGTATTGAATTCAGTTTTGAAAATCCGCTGTTCACAAACTCCTATAATATATCCCGCATTTTATCGAGACGCTTGTCTGCGGTGCAAAGGTTTGCGCCATAGTACATCTCATGGGAGTGTGGCCTAAATAAAGCCAGCAAAGTTTAGAGCAATTTGAGTAAGAAACATTGCCAACAGCTTGAAATCGTGGAAGGAACAGCTCACTTAATTATACTCAGAAGTGTTGACGTTGGTTATGGGTGTAAGTGCCGCTAGTTGTGTGGCGCAAGCCCCCAAAAAACCCTGAACATGGGGTCCCATCTAATATGCTCATATATCCCCTTTTTGCAGCCTCTTACCTCAAAATAAATTTTACTCGTCTTGTGAATAACATTACAATAATAAAGAAAGCTTTCACCAAGGCAATTCTAAGTTGTACCTTGCGTAGTGTTGGGTTGGAAACGGTCGCTTAAAATTGACCGCAGAAAGCAATATTTGGTGTGTACTTGTTTGCCTAAAAGATAAGAACACTTCTTTTCGCTTTCGCGATAGTTTTTCTTGCGTATATTACCAATAAAGCTATTGTGATATAGAACCATATTCTCCCACATATCCCACGGTGGCTTTTAAGGATTACTTATGCTTGGAGTGTCCTTAGTAAGATTGTTTTACAGTCTCTTTGCTAATTTTTCCGGGTGAGGTTCACGGGACGGCTTTATGCTCTCTCATAGAAAAAGTACCTCGTACTTTAAGTCGTTAAAAACGTTTTCTAAACACACGTACCATAACTAGGACAGGCCTCATCAAGTGTGACGCCCATGGGACAGCTCATGCTGTATACCCTATAGAAGAGTACCAAGTACTCGAAATCGTTACCCTCTTTTTGAAACACATACACATTATTCGGGCCAAAACAAGTGTGCAAGAATTCGGTACAGGTACATAGTAAGGTCTCCCTTAGTAGAGTACCTCTACTCTAAATCCACCAACATATCCTCTAAAAACACGCACGTGCAGCTCGGCAAGCCTAAAGCCCTTGCATAAAATATATATTTGAAGTGGTTGAATTTATTTTCATTATCAAGTGAAATGAAGTGTCCTCGTGCTGATCTAGCGAACGTGTACGAAAATTATGACATGTAACAAGCGACTGAGTATGAATTCCTCTTCCGGAAATCGAGCAAGCCTGCCGATATTCTCCTAAGGAAGGCAGCATCTTTCTCAAACGTCCAGGAACTGCTGAAAAAAGTGTTGTAATGAAGTTGTTAGGTAAGGCCCACTCAAAAGTGGTGGAGCTGGCGTGGCCATTGGCGTGACGCACTGGGCAGGATCAACAGCCACATCATCCACTTCGGTAGCACCGACGTGCGCTGAAAATGGGGATTGTGCTTTCATTCTTATTGAATATGAGCCTTTTCTTGCTTAGGCTGAGTGTTGGATAACACTTGATAGCACTGAATTATTCATTCAAAATGTTTAAGTGAGTTCTAAGAATGTTAATGTAGAATAAGACGCCAAGCGAAGCTTCAAAATGGAAACTTTGGAATGGTGAACACCCATCGGATACAACATACGGGTTCAAATAACACTTCCGTGAGGAATATATTTTCATGGATATGTGTGAGCTTTGTTCGCTGAGTAGCAGAAAACGACACTCACATAGTCGTTAGCCTGTGCACGCTGCCCAGCAAGCAGAGATTTGCTCCCGCAAGCTGGCTCATACAGTGCGTTGCCCATCAGCATTGTATACTGTTCCCAAAGTTAGGCTGACACAATCCAAAATAAGCCCATCGCAACATTACTTATGCAGTGCCGCTTGCATTTTAGCCGGAAAGCTCTCACGCATTCCGCCTTGGAGATGCAAATTTGCTGCCAAGATCGCTGCAGAACTTACGAAAATATTGCACAACAAAACTTCTTATCAAGGTCTTTACTTCTTCTTTTACCCTTCTTTGCGACTATTAGCTGTTATAGCCTTTGTATTACAGGGAAAACTTCATATTGCTACGCGAAACGAAGAACCGTTCACCACTAGTATTGACAATAGTGTCCATTGGCTGCGCTGTCAATCACGTCGTTCTACGTCGCACGCAAGCAAGCACGCGATCGGCGACGCCATTACTGACGATATTTTCTGCGTCATACCCAAGCACGCGTGTTAGTAGCTGCGCTGTCAATGACGTCATTCATTCTGCGTGGCCTTACCGCCGAGTTAGCGCACAGCAGCAGTAGTGCTTTGTTCGACAGAGTCAAAAACTCGATGTGTGACATGTGCGCAATGCTTCGGTGCGTTTCAATGATTTTCCGCTTGTTACGGCAGTTGAGGTATGTGTCATTTGCAGCGAGTTTCTTCTCGTTCTTTCCTCTTTCAAATGTACTACAGACAATGCGGCCTGTGAGAGGAGAATCTGTGCGCCTGCGAGGCTCCTTGGGCATGCCGCAATAGTCAGCCGCTTGTTTTTGAAGTGTTTAGAGCGATATTAGGTTGATAATTTAGATTACTCATTAGTTGCTTCTGTAGGTTGTAATATTAGTCACCTCCGTCTTGCTTTGAGCATTGCCAGTCTTGTTTTTGGGCTTGCAGTGACCACTTAATTTTGAGCGTGATTCGTTTCCATGAGACCTATGGATCGATGAAAAAATGGGGCCATTATAGTACTGGGCACAAAAAATAGGCTTAGGTATGTATTTTAGAAAAAAAACAAGCATTACACACTCGACGTTGCAATCAACCAGGACCGAGCCTGGTTCATTTCAATCAGTATTTTCGGCTGTTGCGCCATTCGGCTGGCTCGCTGTCTGTATATTATAAGCTTTTGTGAATTTCCCTTCGTGAGTTTGCCCTACCATGCAATGTGTTCATTTTTTGTTGCCACGCTTGAGGTCAACATGCAGCATAGTTATACCGCAGTTCAAAAGAGTCACTTGTCCAGCAAGTTGGTGCATGGTTATATTCGAGGAAAGGCAGTAAAACGTAGAAATAACAACCCTGAGAGGTGGAAAGAAAAGACAGTGACGCACGGGTGCCTTGATCTCTGTCACTGTTCTTAACGGACCTTTTTAACGGAGCGGAGAATGGCCTCCTTTCTGGAATGTTGCACGGGAAAGCAAAAGCCCCCGACAATGTCTCGGCAGTTTCAGTTGGGGGGTCGTGGACGTTAACAACAGCATAGAGAGCACTTTAGCGGCGTGCATGGAGCCTTCAGTGGAAAAGTTCATATATATACGTATGTTAGTGGCCTTCCTTGGGTGCATACCGCAGTTAAGTAGTGTAACCTGAAAAATTCTTTCGGTGCGAAGGTGAGTGGTATGTATTCACGTGTATATTTTCCCACAAAACAGAATATCTTCGAAAAAAAAAACGCTGAAGCTACCCCAGTCTTACCAACCTCAGTGTGGCAGTTCCTTTCTGTAACGCAATGAGGAGCAAGAAAATGAGAAACAACGCATGTCTCTGCAAGATTTTGGAAGGCATTCTTTATTAAGAGGAAACACTGGAACAGTGGACTGTCGAGAAGTCAGTTGGCTTTTTTTTTTTGTTTCTTGGGGCAGGCTGGTCAGCGGTACATTTATTGGTGAAGACTGCAGCCACTTTTCATGCATTGCCGCAAGCACATACAGGGCAAAGAAAAAGAGGGGCTATGAACAAGCCACAAAATTCGCGCTCTCTGAAAGGCTTGTATAAAACACGCCTTAAGCCATCACGCTTACAAAGGAGCCGAGCTACCCATACCACTCATACCACCCATACCCATACTGGACCCTATTGGCGGGATAATTTGTTGCTGTTGATAGTATTCACCGCCTCCTAAATATCCGTTTTGAATGAGGGTGAGAGTTCCCCGGGCGATGAATGGCAAAGTCATCGGCAGGCTCGGAATCTGCGTGAGGATGAAAACGCACCAAAAAAAAATCAATGAAGCTTCCACTTTGTTGTGGTGGTCGAATTCTAAGTCTTTGTTTTAGTTAAACATCACACTGCGTACCTTAGTAATCGTTGACAATGTTATCGCAGAGCTTTTGCGTGTCACATTTTACTTCAGCATCGCCGTGTATGCACACATATACAATCATTGACTTGTTGACTCGACTAATGCCCTTACGCGGGAAGTTTATCTAAAAAAGGTATGTACCACATGCTTATTCTGAAACTTCAGAAAAGGAGACATTATTCGCTGCAAATGAGAAAGGCCACATAGCAGTTTGATGGTGTTATTCAAGTTATTTGCTGAATGTGCTGCGTATATGTTATTTGTTGGGGTTACTGGCAGAAAGCTGTATATGTTTTGTCCTGGATGTTCTGGATTCGACCATCTAAAAGCAAGCATCTTTATATGCATGATTACATATCCTTGTACAATTGTCAATAAAAACTACGCAGCTCTTCCACACATTTTCTCGATGGATATTGTTGTAATGGGGTGGAAAGCGTCAGTGAATTTGGCTTAGAAATTGTTTGTAACCGCATTTCAAGCGATATGAAAAAAAAACAAATAAAGCGTTACCTGAAAAAAAAATAAGAAGTGTTCTAACATGTCACGTCTTTAATCGCTAGCAAAAGCTTTGTTCACAACAGAGTGTTTAACGTAATTGTCTGAGTTTATATGCACCTTATACGACTGTTAGAGGGTGATTTGATTTTAGGGGTTTAACGTCCCGAAACCACCATATGATTATGAGAGACGCCGTAGTGGAGGACTCCGGAAATTTCGACCACCTAGGGTTCTTTAACCTGCACCTAAATCTGAGCACACTGGCCTACAACGTTTTCGCCTCCATCGAAAATGCAGCCGCCGCAGCCGGTATTCAATCCCGCGACCTGCGGGTCAGCAGCCGAGTACCTTAGCCCCTAGACCACCGGTGCGGGGTCTGTTAGAAGGTGTCTGATTAAGATGAGTGCATCCATAGTGAGGCATATTTCTTAGGTAAATTACCACATTTGATATCTTAGCCTCATTTTCACCTGAGTTCCTATAGGTAAAGTTTGACTAACCTGATTTTCTGTGTTAAAAACAGAAATAATGGCTGCCTCATATGAACTCCGCACATTTTGGAACTGTCATAGACCATACGATGACGCATAAAATCTGGGTCAAGCTGCTAACAGCGCTTTTCCCACCATGACAGTGATGTGGTAGTTAAAACAATAAACGGGAGTTTGGGGGTGAGATCTACAAATTCTACCATTCAAATCAGTGCCTGGGAAAGTGCGCCAAAAAGTACTAAATGCTCCAAAATCTGTGCTACAATGCCATGTAATTGAGTTGTTGATTCGGTGGGTGGTATGTCTAATGATATAATTTATTCATTTGACAGGTCATATTAAATACGTCGTGGTTTTGCTTTAAAAGGTCCTTCAGTGTAGCGCTGTGAGCCTAAACTATATATATAGTCTATGGTGTCCATAATCCTTTCGATGGTTTTATAAATTACGAATACTCGCGTTCTTGTGAACACGAAGTGAAACCTTTGATGACGCAGATACTGTGAACGTTAGACATAAGACGGAGACTTCATGTGTCACAAGGATGTTTTCTTCACTTGTGTCGCAATGCTAGTTTGTCGTGCTCGCAATAATGGCTGTTGACGCATATATTTGGAATAAGAGGTTGCGTTCCCAAACGAGGTTGCGCGAAAAGCTCCTTGCTTTCAATTCTGAATAATGGTCCCCACACTTTCAAGAGGGCGACATAACACAAAACATAACTCTTTTAGTTTTTTGCTTTCACCTTTTGCACTTGCAGCAAATCATGGGGAAAAATGAATATTGCAACTTTATGTAAGTCTTGCACCATAATATTTTTGAGTTCATGAGTCATCTACGCATCTTACTGGGGCCTAATCATGGGAGGGGCCTGGTGCTGGCAAAAGGAGGGCTTTGAAAGATGGAGCCCTGGAGCACTTCGTGCCACTGATTTTGAATCTTAGTTATACTTTTGTAGCGCTCGATAATAAAAAGAGAATAAAATGAGGTAGTAACCTATAGTATCATCAAATAGGCAATTTTAAGTGTGTAAGTAGTTTATTCCTCCAAATAAGATAACAGTAATACTATATTGAGCATTTGCCGAAATTCATTACTCGGCACAGTGTCACTACATCACGATAGATCCAAACAACTGCTGGAAGCAGAAGATGTGAGCTTACTCGAACCGACGCCTTAACAAGTGAACTTGTCTTCTACAAGCCTAGAACTGATTTGTTTAAATATAGTTTTAAAATACACAATTCTACTTTTTCAAACGTATGCTCGAGCACACAATCTCTTCCCATAGATTTTTTTATTATTACACGATAATAGATTAATATTAAAGTCGAATTCTAGGTATGGCGCTTTCATGCAAAACTCAGACGTGTTCACGGTCATAATAACAAACGTTTCGAAGGATGCATGAGCAAAGCCATACAGATCTGGTAATTCCTGTTCGCTGCGCGCATCGCAAGGCTCGTAGTTGTGCTGTAAGCTGCCCCAGAGTATATATGACACAGCATGTTTTAGTTTGGCTTGTCATCTCTCAACACCGCTTAACGAGTCAAGGAGGCTTATGTATATGCCATCTGTATTTTATCATTGGCGCATGGCTTATCGGCTATCGCTGAAACACAGTGAATAATGACTGTTTGGGAAAGGTAAACTCTTTCATGACTACCGGATCATTCACAATTACTAATGCTCGTCTTGAATACAGTCACGTCCATACTAACGACTTGTACTTTCCTCGACAAAGCTTACTCGCCTATGTTGGTGACGTGCTAACCCGAAAGTCATAGGAGTAGAATCTAGGCTGCGCGACTCGCATGCCAATAGAAGAAAATTGCTAGAAGCCCGTTTACGTAAACTGAAGTGCATGTTAGGTAACACCAACTGTTCCACGTTTCTAGAACTTACCAATACTGTTTCTATAATAATCACGCCGTGCTTTTTGGGACGCAAAGCCAGAACAGGTACTTTTATAATACAAATCTCTACAAAACTTCATTCACAATCTGCAAGCATCATAATTTAAAAGTGTCACCTGTTATGAGCTCGTTGCACCGGCTCAAACCATCGAGTGTTTATTAACATGAAAGTGTTTCATGCCGCGATCCACCATGGCCCCATTACAAATTTCCCTCATGAGTATCCCGTTGAAAAATATTTACTAACATGACTTACAACCGTGTTTATGAAGTAGTCTGCTGCTCGCATACGAAGTAACAAAATGCCAGAGTTGTTTGTCTGCGCTTGTCCTGTGTATTTTATTTTCCGGTGTGCTATCAGCTTCAGGTATGCGCTGTACGTTTGGCGTTGCTTCTTTGCATGACAATGCATTTTGTTACTGCAGCATTTGTTCTTTCGCCTTTGTGGTCAAACAGGCACAATGAATGTTCAAACTACCCGGCGAGAACAATTTAATTTTGTGTTATACCAATTCCTCAAACACAGAGGTGAAGCACGTTTTTTTTTTTCTGCATCAACCAACAGCGAATGAGCTTTTCTTGTTATGACATACTGGCATAAAATGGTGCAGATATTAGAGGAACGTATAGTGTTACCAGGAGGACATAAAAGTGTAACATGCATCACGGACAGTGTTGTGTGCTTATTCGTTGAAACTACTTTCAGAATTCGCCGAGGAGTTGGGAATGATCAAAGTTTAAGACGAGTAGTCCATACTCACTATGGGTGACGGCGTCGGGTATGGGTATGGGTATGGGTTAGGTGGGTATGGGTTAGGTGGGTATGGGTAATATCCTCCCCCTTTGGTTCCCTTGATGGATGCACCTGGGAAGTATCCTCCCTGCAAAATATTAGACAGGTACTGCAGATTTGAAGCATACTGTGTTACGTTCCACTCAGGGCCTCGAGAGATCGCTATATCTTTCACAAAAATTGTAACTTCAATATCCAATGATCTCGCAACACGTTGTTCCTAAATCCATCCGCTACTTTAGAGGATCGTTGATATTGTACTGAGCGCTTCCTGTCCAAGAAAATGTTGCATTCCAAATATGACGGCAAGGCAACTGATAGTTATGCACAACTTCCAGCTAGAGCTTCCGCTAATCAACCTATCCATGTATAACAGCGTGGAGGCGTGCACATGGAGGCTTCCTAAAAGAAACGTTTAATACGTTTAAATAGTATAATATACGTTTAATACGCTTAAACACAATTGCGTTCAATACTTATTGTTACGTTTAAGTAAAAATAGGAGTAATCAGCAGGACTGGATTGTTGACCTCATCATGACTCGTGCGACATGGCTGGCTTAGCACACGCCTGCAACCCATCGCCTTGCATGGCGTCTATACATCTAACTGCTCGCCTTTCAAGCAAGCCTTGATGGTTGGCGAAATGAAAAACTCTAAAGGTTGCCACGCCTCCCGCTACAATTTTTCGCCAGTGAGCAAACTAAGAAATTATTTTCTCTCGGGGCCTGCTTGTTATTTGCACTGCTAGTAGCATACATGAAACACCCCAGTCTGCAGTTTAAAGAAGACACGGATGGCTACGTTCACAAAAATGAGTGATTGTTTATGATCATTAGGTTCATTTCTTTTGTTTCAATTGTGTTATTTTACTTTGCTTTGTCCCTAAACGTACGTAATTTTTCATCTGGATGAATCGACCCACTAAATATAATTGATCGTTTTCAAGAGTCACCTTATTTTCTATGAGCGAAAATCTCGGCACTCCACTGAGAACTTGACAAAAAGCATCATTGCTGTTGTCGCTGCGCCTAATCAGCTATTGTTTTACTATGAATTTCAGTTTTCCTTTTTTTCCTAAATGCTGCTGCACACACCTGTACCATGCTGAGGTCTCCAGCAATTGAAAAGCACATAAATAAAAATAAATCACAGAAATCTTTTGCAAGGACGTAAAGCATTGCGGCTAGGAAGAATGGAGCATGGAAGCATGGCTAGGAAGCATACAATAAATCCAGAAGTCAAATGCAGCTTCAAAACATAGTGATGAGATAAAAAAATTGACAACTTGACTCACTAGCACTCTTTAAAGCATTTTCTCAACTTTGCAGTCGAACCTACAGTGTTCTCCTCTCTAAAAACCTTACGTTTGAACTATGGTGCAGGAGGTCCCTGGCTGTAAGACGCTATGTGTGGAAGGCTAAATTTCTACAAAAGTTGTCTATCTTGTTTCACTTACTTGGGCTGAACTCGAGTGCCTCGTTAATACGGCAAGTACTGAAATTCAAAAAGATACACGCATCATTCGCCAGTCGACGAGCATTCAAATGATCAAACATTAATACTAAATGCTCTATAATGTTGAACCGCGAAGCAATAAAGAATGGCATAAACTTACTTCTTCACCGCATTCTTTGTCTCTACGAATGCGTACATTGAACAGCGCTCATGGATTATAACCTGAAACTAGTCTCTCTGCCATTATAACTAGTTTACGGGGCCATGTTTTCACAGATGTTTCGGCTTCACTTCATAAGGACATCTAATCAAAGTGCCAGAATTTCAACAGAAATACTAAGTTCACGCCAATTTATGGCGAGAGCTTCAAATATTTGTTTTGTTCAATAAGTTCATAGTTGTTAAAAATACTGGCAATTAAAAGTATAAGCAATGCCATCTCAAGGTTTGCTTTTCGCTATTCTTCAGTGATCGCAAGCATCACAAGCAGCTATTGAGGAAAATAGAGTACACAATTTTTTAATGAAACCTCATTTAGAACTTGAGTGCAAGCCGCCAAAATTTCTGAAACGTCTCAAATTCGCGACATAAAAAAAATTACAAGTTGGGACAAAGAACATTTCTCGAACCTGCTTCAAATGTAATGCTAAGCTTACACAATATTTCGGTTCGTATTTTGGAGGCTGGATTTTTCCGCAAGTCTACAAAGCTGAAGCTTGCACGAAAGTCACAGTAATAATCAGAAAGGCTTGACAAGTCCTCTAGAAAGTGGCACCCACTTGTTCTTGTCATAACCACTTCTTGAAATCAGGGGCGTAGAAAGAAATGACTTTCAGCGGGGTGAGGAGAGTAGGGCAGGCACATTTTTAAAATGGTCACTTTTCACTCCGTATGCCAAGGTTCGAACCATTTGGGAGGATGGTGATTGATTTGTACGTGGGATTGAACGTTTCAAAACCACCATATCATTAGAAGAGATGCCATAGTGGAGGACTCCAGAAATTTCAGCTAGTTGGGGTTCTTTAACGGGCCACTAAATCGGAGCACATGGGCCTACAGCATTTTCGCCTCTATCTAAAATACAGCCGCCACAGTCGAGATTAGCTCACGTGACATACGGGTCAACAGGCGAGTATTTTAGCCACTATGGCACCGCTGCGGGGTGGGGGGAAGCGGATCACGGGCCTGGTAGGTCACTGTTTTAATTGCGTTGTTACTTATATGTAAAAGACAATGCAGATGTAGGTGCGATTGTACCTCAGTGACGTCATTATACAAAGCTAACTATACTTCTTGTCTTCGTGCTCCAAAACTATAACTCTTTCTAGCATCCTGAAATCAACCTACCGTTGTGGTAATATATTATCCATCTAGTTAACCTAAAGCCAAAGGGCAGTTATGAACGAGTAAATTGAGCAAATCTCAACTGTAGAAGAAAATGCTAAGAAATTCCTATAGTTGAGTAGCACCTCATCTAGCGCATGCAAATTGTGCTACATCAATTTTTATCTACCTAATAACTTAGCACTATTTTGCTAGTGAAGTCCAGGGAACTGCTTCAACAGAATCACTTCCTTTGAACTTGAAAACCAATCCACATATTGCACATATTTCTAAAATATTCAAGAGGCCTTGTCGTTGCTAGATCCGTGAAAAGATAAGAAACTATTATGGTAATTACACAGTGTTTGATTAGGTGAACATGGTTACGCGTACAGGCTGTGCAGTTCATACAAGCTGTACCTAGAAAGTGGTAAGGCCTCCTGCCGTGCACCATCAGGAGCTGCTTGGGTGTCATTGTTGGCGTGTTCGTTCCCTATTACGCCACAGTGAGTTGCCAGGTGCTGAAGTCTCAGGGGCTGTCATTTCTGCTGCGGTGCCTGGAGAAGCAGTGTTCGAGTGCTTCCGCAAGGGATCAGGCTCTCTTTATGTTCCCCCTCCCCCCCTCCCAAGCAGTTGCACTAACCAGACCAATCATCAACGCCACCTGTCCTCTTTAAAACGTCCCTGTATGCTAGTATGATTCCACTGAAGAGAGGCCTATGTCTTTTCCCGCTTATGGCTAGGACTTGAATTCACAGACTCGCATTCAGTTCGCATTAAAATGGCTGTGGACTGGCTGACAGTCCTTATGGTTCGATTTTGCACCACATTCTGTTGCACTGTCCGGTATATAAGAAAGAAAATAGAACAAGAGAATGCAGGGAGGTTGACCCGGCACATGTTCTGTTGGCTACCCTACGCCGGGGGAATGGGAAATACGTGTATAAAGAGGAGAGATAGAGAGGAAATAGAAGAAGAAAATACGAGAAAATTGTCGATACATGGGTTGACGCGTATGCAGTGCGGGTACTATGCAAAAGTCAAAGGCGTTCGCATAGACTCGTAATCCTCACAAAGCGCAAAAAAGCTTTCGCTGCCTTGTGAGTCGTGTGCAGTATATAACGTTCAGAGAAAGTCACTGGCATCCGCTGTAGCACACTGTTACAAATAGCAAATATCAGTCTAAAGCATTGTTGGGTTTAGTCGTCAAACGACACCACATTTAAAGGCTACGGAGGTGCTAAATTGAGTTTCTCTAGAGAAACAGACTTGGACAAGCGGTTGTGGCACTGATGTCGCGTACCACGCAAGAGTGCCTGACTGTGACCAACTGTGTGTGGGCTATGTGGGGTGTTTCGCGTTCTCTTTTCTCTTTTCTCCATGTTTCGATCTCCCGCATCATGTTCCTTTGGCAGGGTAGCAAACCTGTTGTTCTGAACTGGTCAACTTCTTTGCCTTTTATTGCGAACTATTCCTTCTCTTTCACTACAAGTGGCAGCCTGTTTTCTTAAGCCCAAATGAATAGAAATAATCAGTACGCTGATTAAACAATTGTTTTTCTTCAGCAAGAGTGAGCAGGAATGGGGACTCTTACATACGAAATTTCAGTATTTTTTAATGTCAAATACGTTTATAAGTTCAAACTGAACAATTTCTAACTGAATAGCCCCGCACTGCAGAAGTAACGCTACCAGTTTAACGACCCACAAACACACAGCTTCCATGGACCCCTTCGTGCATTTTGCACCCCGTGTAAATTGAAGCAGTGTGTACTTACGCGCCAGCAAGGTTGTCAAGAGCGCGTGCCTCATCATCCTGCCCCGAGAACCTTGTGACGAAGGAGGACTGGATGTGCCTGGGCTCACTTACGCAGATAAATGCACCTTAAGTAGCAGACCCACTCAGTAAACCTCTTTTCGGGGCGGCTTTCTCGAGCTGTCAGGAAGTTTATTTTGTGGGACATGGCTCGCAGCTCGCGACGTATATTTGTCACTTTATTTATTTCTCGTTTAATTAGACTTTAACATGCTTGCTTCCGAGAGCGTTTACGCGCTTTCATAAACGGTTTTTCTTTTGAGACGAGCAAGAACGTCACGTGTGTTCCTGACAGCCCCAACATCTCTCGCACGCACTTGTTGCATGAATCTCGGAAGTGAAACCGTTTACCTTTTCTCGAAGGCTAAGCAACCGCCTCTCACTTAAGAACGATAAACCGCTAGTAAAGGGGATCTTCTGAAGTGCCACATGCTTCAGTGTGGTTTGGTGCGCTTCAATGACCTTCAGCGAGCTTCAGTGATGTTTAGTTGGCTGAAGTGTCTGCGATGGATAATGCGCAGATCAACCATGAAAAGCAGATTATGCTCTTCTCCTTCCCTTAATAGCATATATGCAGCTGTTCCATGACCCACAATCCTGGAAGCTCAGGACTGTGTATATTTTTATATATTCTTTTTTTTTTCTTCAATTTAATTTACATACCAACAACCAAGCAGGAAGGCGAAGCACTCGCCAGGAAGTCGCCGCAGCTTTTAAATTTTGTAATTTGAATAGAGGTAAAGTAACACTGTGTATTTATCTTAACCTTTCTTCCAGCTTGCTCTGTACAACGTAGGGCTCCTTCAGAAAGAAAAATCAGCGTTTCATCAGGCTCTGTTGTGGACATTCCAATCACTGTCATTGCAATACAAAAATGTCAGGTTTGTGGTTGCCAGTATAGAAATGTATGACAAATTTAATGCATGCAAACTGGGCTTAACTGAGGCTTGTTATTTCGTTTTTGTCTCTGCCTGGAAGCCGCCATAACAGTGTGATCTTGCCTGCCTCAACGCCCCGCCGCGGTGGTCTAGTGGCTAAGGTACTCGGCTGCTGACCCGCAGGTCGCGGGTTCATAGCCCGGCTGCGGCGGCTGCATTTCCGATGGAGGCGGAAATGTTGTAGGGCCCGTGTGCTCAGATTTGGGTGCACGTTAAAGAACCCCAGGTGGTCCAAATTTCCGGAGCCCTCCACTACGGCGTCTCTCATAATCATATCGTGGTTTTGAGACGTTAAACCTCACAAATCAATCAATCAATCAATTGCCTGCCTCAACTATCTCACTTAACCGCATAATTAGTGGTCGGTAGTAGTACTCGAGTACTACCTCTCGCACAGCCTGTACGACTTCCTAATTTCTTGTTCAGGCTTCACGTCCACCTCTGCGGAACATTGGCTAGGGTGGTCGACGGCTGACGCGGCAGTCGTCGTCTTGCTCCCGGTCGTGGTGGTCCCATTTCGGTAAAGGCGAAATGGTAAAGTTCCGTGTACTTTGCGATGTCAGGGCCCATTCAAAAACACCATATCATAAAACTTTTCGGGCCCCCACTGCGATGTGTCTCATAATCGCTATTATATTATTATTATTATTATTATTAAGTTCATGCATTATTTTTTAGTGCTACAAGACAGTGACATGCGCTAACAATCACCCCCTTCACTACTCGCAACAACTGCTTTAAGTACTCGTTTTTTCCCAGGGTCATAAATGAATGGAATCAACTGTCCAAAGTTGTAGTGTTGTGGGCATCTCTGAATTTGTTCATGTCCCATATTCTGTAACTAGCTCATTTTCCTTTTCGTTGCGTTAATACCTGTATTTGACGAGTTGTTTCAATTTTATCTATATCTGCATAGTTTTTGCACCACATGTGGCTTGTTTTTTATTGTTTTTGTTTTCTCTACTAGCTGTAGCAAACATTTGTATCCCATCCTGCGAAAATCCCTTAATGGGGTTGAAGTACTTGTAACTGAATAATAATAAATATTTAAACCTAAAAGAGGGGCAACGACTGTAAACATCGTTGTGTGCTATTGAGACGGAAAAGCATTGAAAATAAAAAAATACCATCAAAATGAATAGGCCGGTAAACTGAAGAAAACACATCAGGAGTGTTACTATGAGTCCATGGAAACAATTCGTTTATTCATATATTCATTTATTAGTGCAACCAACATCTACTAGGGAGTACAAGAACAAGAGAGAAGGCAGGGAAGTTAACCAGGCACATGCCCGGTTTGCTACCCTACGCTGGGGGAATGAAAAGGGGGCATGAAGTTGAGAGAGATAGAGAGAGAGGAAAGAGAAAAAAAAGAGAGAGAAAAAAGAGATTGTCAGTCGATGGGCTGATGCGTATGCAGCGGTGGCACTACACGAAAGTTAAAGGTGTTCACGCAGGCTTTTAGTCGTCAAAAAGCACAAGACGACTTTAACTGCTTTCTGAGTCGACGAAAGGCGAAGATGGTGTTCCAGTAGCATCTGCATAGAAAGTGGCCGATCGTCTAATTGTCTCAATGTGTCCGAAAGCTTCTGTCTTTCAGTGGCAAATCGAGGGCAATGGCATATCACATGGTCGATGTCTTCTTTGGTGCCGCAGACGTCGCATTCCGCATTGTCAGTCCATCCAATGAGGGTTGTATATGCTTTTGTGAAAACAACCCCCAACAAAAGGTGACAAAGAAGCGAGGCTTCATGCTGACGAAGTGGGCAATAAAGTAAGGGGGTAAAATAAACATAAGTTGTACAGTGTAAAAAGGCCAACATTTGCGCAGCAGTGCCTGTGCATTCACGAATAGCACACATCTTGTAGTGAGAAACAAAATCATGGGCTTAAACAATGATTGAGCTAGCGTTGGGAGAACTTACACGTCGGTTCTTAAGGAGACACTACAAAAAAAAATAAAGATGGCTACACAGCGCCGCTATAGCGAACCAATTGCAGGGATGTCGTACATGTCGCCGCACAAGTTGCTCAACAACCAAAAGAAGCTGGTATTTTTTTTTTCAACGAAGGAGACTTCGTATAGTACTGCAGAGTGCGTGTGCGGTTATCTCAGCGTGACGAGCGCTATACCCACACCTGCACTCGGCACGCGTGACTCTGCTTATTCGCCGAGCATAGCGTATATCCTTCACTTCTACGTAGTACCTTTGGAACCGTGACGTTTAGCGCCATTTCACGGTTGCTCGCGTTTCGTGCGCAAAATGACGTGATTAACGGAATTTTATAGAGCATAGTTCAGCGTAAAAACGTGCCGCCTCGTATATTCCCAGGAATGGGCGGCTGGAATAGTGACGGGATTGCGGTAAATAAGGTCGTGCGCATCTTGCTTTGCGCTACACACGTTTTCTCAACGTAAAGGTAAGCGTCTCACACCACGAGAGGCGTGTCCTGAAGCGTGTAAAAAATATGTCGAGCATAAACGCAAACTTTCTATGCAGATTCAACGTGAGAATTGTGCATTCGTCCCACTGCTGCGTAAGACGAATCGCATATTAAGAGGTGAACGAGCAATATCAAACAAAATAAGTTTTCTTGGTGGGGCCGAGTTTATAACCTATAGCATTATGCGGCGAGAACGATAGCCTTGCCCGCTGCGCTCAAGACTCCTTCGTTGATTTTTTTGTCATTTTTACGGCTGAGCTGGGCTTAACGTTCACATTTGCGGAGAATAATAAGCATGCGAGGTATACCAGTGATACGAAACGAAGTTTAGATGAAAAACACTTTTTGTGAGAGCTTCGTCTGATTATTTCGTCATTGCAGAGTAACAGTATGCACCAGCACGGCGTGTAAAGCAGACATAGGGCACCACACACATTGCGAAGTCTCTTATTTCGCGAAAATCTTTCTAAAACTCCTCATCGCGATTTTCGTGGGAAGCGTTCTCTATGGGATCATTCCGGACGGTGACAAACGCCAGAAAGAGGATGAGAGACGCCACACAGATGCTTGAACATGGCACGTATAACCCCTCTTGATTTTTATTGGTACATGTCAGGTCTTGTGCCGTCATTTTTATAGTCGCTGAACAAGAGCAGTGCAAGATTCTGCTCTAGTTAGTTTTTGTTAACTCTATGACTATAATAGCACGGTGCTGCCTACTACCAGTAGCTCTACCTTAAAAAAAATCGTTTCTTCACATTGCTGCCACAAGGCGCCAAATCTCACGCAGCATTCGCTGATGTCATCGCGCATAATGTGAAATACGCGTTTTATTATCTCTCTCTCTCTTTCTAGATAATGTGCTATCACCTTTCGATATCCTTCGCAGGAAAGCACGCGGATAAGTGGCCGATTTTTTTGAATTTATACGGTCCAAAAAATCAAGTATTTGGGAAGTGTTTCCTACAATTTTTGCTGCTACGCAACAAAAATTGTCATCTTATTCGAGTACTTTCACAGCACTATCACTACAGTTCCGGTATTCGTTGCCCTGAGTGGTGCGCGCGTCAAAAGAGTGACATAGCCCTCCCGACAGGAAAGCGGCCAGTGCTAGGTTTTTAAAAGAAAACAAACACAAGTAAGTCAGATGATGATCATCGTTGTGCATCAGAACTACTCCCCGAATACTCTTTTTTTTTCTTAGAATCTAGTTCCCGCTGGTTTTTCTCGACTCTAAACCCGAACCAGCCAGCCCAGCTTTCATGCTTAACATGCAGAACAACGATATTCTCACGGAGAGCTCTGCTGAACCTGATCAGCAAAACGTAATGACTGATGAGAGGACCGTAAGTTTCTGTGGCATTTTTGACAACGGGTCATTATCTGAAATGTTTTACATGCACATGCTTACCGATTGAAAGCGAAAGGTGTAAATTTAGGGGCTTGTTTTCTTTGTTAGACACCATAATAAGAACTAGCCCAACCACGGCGGTCTAGTGGATAACGTACTCGGCTGCTGACCCCCAGGTTGCAGGATCGCATCCCGGCTGCGGCGGCTGCATTTCCGATGGAGTCGGAAATGCTGTAGGCCCGTGTGCCCAGATTTGGGTGCATGTTGAAAAACCCCAGGTGGTCGAAATTTCCGGAGCTCTCCACTACGGTGTCATTCATAATCATATAGTGGTTTTAGGACGTTAAA